ATTCTGTTTTCTAAAACATGTGGAAACGTCATGCCCACTTTGCTTACAATATGTGCATACTATATTTGCCGGAGCGTTATAATTAGTCGGCTGTCTAGTAAAATTATTATTAGATGGACGTGAATTATTGCTATTACGTTGTTGTACACAATCCCGGGCAAAATGATTACCTCCGCATTGATAACATCGTATATTAGCTATTGCATTGTTATCATTCCGATAATTATTATTACGATTATAATTATTGTTGCGATTAAAATTATTATTATTGCGAGGCTGGTATTGGTTATTGTTGAAATTGTTCCTATTTCCTCGATCTATATTAGGTCTATTAAAATTCGGATTTTGATTATACTGTGGTCTAACATAATTCGAATTTGTGTTAAAATTCCCTCTAGGACTGTAATTTTGTCTCGGTGGATTTCCATTGTTATAATTCGGTCTATTGTTACTCGGTGCATTATAATTATTATAACGATTAGTGTTATTAAAATTATTATTCCGCCTATTAGAATTACTGGTATCCCCGTTAGAGTTGTTTTCTTGTCTACCTGAACTATTGCCTCTATAATATTGGTATGCATCTGACTCAGACTTAAATTCAGTTTCTTCATCCTTAGCAACCTGTATAGCTAATTCTAAAGTGGGTGGTTTTTGAGATTTCACGATAGTCTTTAAGCTAGGTATTAACCCCTTTATAAAAACTACCAATGTCTGTTCCTTTAACTGATCGCGGATTGTATTTGCCTGTTCTGTACTTTTACCCTTTGTACTTGCTACACATAGATTGAAATATAACTGTTCTACACGTCTAGCATATGCACCTACATCTTCGTTACCTCTCATACGTACTGAATTTAATGCTACCTGCAATGAAGAAGTGGATTGTTGAGGTTCGAAAGCGTCTAATAAAATTAATTTTATACCTTCCCAATCGCTGGTGTCCCTATATCGACACACATTTAAAGCTTGGTCGAACAACTTGGTATTAATAAATTTCGTGAGTATAGGTAGGTCTTCTTTCTCTACTGCCGAACATGCTAATTCGCAAGCTTTTATGAATTGGTAAACGTCCCGTTCGCCGGTACATGTAGGGATCATGAGGATGGCTTTATCTAATGGAATCTTCCCTGGCATTTTGGTTTTCTTGATTCGTTTAACGGGTTCTAACTGCGTATGTATTATCCCTTTCTGCGTACGAGTACCTATCTGTTGCAGCTCAGTTTCGTTTACTATTATCGGTCTTATGCTTGTATTCAATAAATCCTTTTCTCTAATAGCTTCTAAATATTTTTCCCTATCGAAATCTTTGGAATATTGATAACCTTCCTCGGTACTTAAATCAATTAATAATTCCTTATCGTCAACTACTGCTGTTTCTTTAGTTAATTCGCTATCCTTATAATTAATAATATCAGATTTAATTAATACGACTTTTCTAACTTCCTGGTCTACTACTTGTATACTTTCAGCTTCGCTTTCTGTTAAACTAGTATTGGTTTCTTTTTGACACATTAATCAATAGTCATAATCAAGTAATTAAAATTAAATAATCAGATTTAAAATAAATATAGAATTAAAATTTAATTGATACACTAGCGTAAAATAAATTAATCTTACGTAAATAATTATTTCGTTAATTAAAATCTACCTAAATAAAATATCAAATAAATAAATAACTAATCTAACAATTAAATAATAATAGTATAATTATTCCTATTATTAAACAAAATTTTTTTTTTTTTACATTAATTCAATTAACCAGTCATACGACATCTATACTTAAATAGTAACTGTTACTAACTGTATTAATTGAATTAAAAAATGTTATCAACCTACTCTTTTCAACACGTAAGGACTTATTTCGGCCTTATAAAAAATAAAATTCAAAAATATAGACTCACTGTCTTCAAATAATTTTACTAATCTCAGGACTTACCACACGGCCTGTAATTAAATTCAATAAAACCTCGACTTCACCTGTCGGAAAATTCAAATAACAAAAGGACTTACTTCACGGCCTATAAATAAATTCAATAAAACCTCGACTTCACTTGTCGGAAAAAATATAACACAAAAGGACTTACTACACACGGCCTATATAAATTCAATAATTCAATAACTTGACTTCAATTGTCACAAAAACTTAGGGCTTACCTCCGGCCTATAAAATCAATCATAGACATCAATGTCTTAAATAAATTCAACAAATACAAGGACTTACTTCTCTGCCTTTAAAATAAATTTCCCCAAATACAGACAACAATTGTCTAAAATAATTCACAAAATATAAGGACTTACTTCCGGCCTTTTAAATAAAATTATAAAATATAGACATCAATTGTCTCAATAAAATTCACAAAATACAAGGACTTCTCGGCCTTTATATTCAACAATATATTCAACAATAAAGACTCAACTGTCTTAAAATAATTAAAATATTTTTTTTTTATAATAACTCCCAATTTATTATAATATTACAAGATCTATTTCAATTAAATAGGTACTACTCAAGATTTATGAATTGTTCAACCTATTAATTTAAACTATGTATTCATATTTATTTAATAATTAATCAATCACTAACTCAACCTGAAAAATAAAAATTTTGTTCGAATATATATATTCGCTAAAATATTTAATTTTATTCTATTTCCAATAAATTAAATTTATTCTTAATAAATTATTACGTTATTATTTAATTCAATGTTCCGAACAGCTATTAAATTATTTTATTTAAGTAACTGAAATTTATTTTAAATAAAGTTATTATTTTATTTAATGGTTATTTAATTTTAAAGTCCGAATAATAAAATTATTAATTTATTTTAATTAAAGGATTGAGATTTATTTTTTTTTACAAAATATTATTTTTATTTAATTATTTTTTATTTGGTTTGAGTAGAATTTATTTTAGAATATTTATTTTATTTATTATTTAACTAATTGAAGATTTCTTTTAAAATAAACTATTATTTATTTAAATATTAAATTAAGTCAAGTTCGAAAAATTATTTTTTTTTTTATTTTAATGGAAATTGTTTAAAGAGAAAAATTAAAAACAAATTTATTGTTGTAGCTAACTATAATTTAATTTTAGTTTTAAATAATTGTTAAATTATTTTAATTAAAATGTTTAGGAAAATTAAAATTATTTTATTATTTTATTTTATTTAAATGATTGGAAATTATTTAAAATAGAACTATTATTTAATTTAATTTAAATGAAAATATTTTAAAATAAAATTCTATTTATTTTATTTAAATGATTAAAATGACTAAAATTGTTATTTTATTTATTTAATGATTGTAGAATTATTTTTAAATTAAATTATATTTCCTATTTTATTCAAATGATTGAAATTTATTTTAAAATGTAATTATTATTTTAACTTATTTAAATGATTGAAAGATTTCCTACGAAATTAAATTATTATTTATTATATATTTTAAAAAGTTTGATAACTCGCGACGTTATTGTAAAAATAAAATTATTACTCTATTCAATGTTATTTAATTTTAAAAATAAATTTCAAACAACTATTAAATTATTTTATTTAAATATTATTTAATTAAAGAGTTAAAGATTTTTTTTTTTTTAGTTATTATATATTATTATTTTTTTATTTATTATTTATTTAAACAATTAAAAAAATTTTAAATTAAAACTTTAGTTTATTTAATTATTATTTTATTATTTTATTATATTTATTAAATATTATTTTATTATTTTATATTATTATTTTAAATCTAAGGTTGAACAATTTTATTTTATTTAAAAAAAATTAAAGTTCCTCACAATTATTTTATTTAACACGAAAATTCAAAGTTCCCAACAATTTGTTATTTAATTTAACACGATTAGATTCTTCACTTATATATATACTATGGTCATATAATATACCATAGGAGACGAACAACGATTTAATTACTCTAAATACTCACAACAACACGGCGGGTACACTGAAAAAAAAACCACAATCATATTGATAAAAAGCTATGTTGAATTGAAAATAATCTTGTTGATATAGAGCCGACAAGATTATTGTATCAATTTGACAATTATATTGTTGCCGCTTGGAATAATGTTGATTCAATCAATGAACCTTGTTGATTTGACAATGTTCTTGTTGATATAGAGCCGACAATATTGTTTTATCAATTTGAAAATACTATTGTTGAATACACCAGTAGTAAAATTGTCAAATCAATCATCACATATTGTTAATCATAACAATTTTAATGTACTACCAACAATATATTATATTGTTAATTTTTATGTATATATTGTAGGTTCAATAATTATGCTATTGTACATCACAAAATTTGCAATGTTATATTGATAATTTTAACATTATTACCATAACAATGGTCAAAAATATATTGGTACATAATTTATATTTTATTGTTGAGTATTGGTAAAATAAATACAATTACAAATTGAAATCAAACAAATTACAATATACACTTAATAAGCATTACTTATAATAAAATATAAATATTAAAATTATTGAAATATTATGATAAATAATAATATTAATAATACATTAATAATAATAATAATAATTATAATATTAAAAAAAAAAAAATTATACTTCTTTTATACAAGTTGGTACATATATTTAAATGAAACAATATTTAACCTAATATTTGACAAGGTTTATTAGTTTTTTTCGAATATAATTATACTAAATATTAGGCAATAACATTGAAATATGATAATTAATTAATAATAATAATAATACAAAAAAATGTATACTTACAATATGAAAACAAGTTATATTTAAATGAGACAATATTTAACCTAATATTTGACAAGATTTATTAGTTTTTTCGAATATAATTAGGTATACTAAATATTAGGCAATATCATAGAAATATGATAATTAATTAATAAAAAAAAAAACAAACAAATAAATGTATCTGATATATACCTAGTAATATCTATACTGATTATATATATACTTATTTTAAATTTATGAAAACAAATTATATATTACTTAATAATTAGTTAAATCGGACAATATTTGACCTATTAGGTGACAAGGTTTATCAAACTTTGTAGTCAAAGAAAAAAAATATTTTTGAATAAATATCCAAACTGTTATTGATTGTGATGGATATTCCAAATTAAATAAATGAAATATTTTGAAACAAATGTCAATTGCATGTACAATGGAAAACACTTTATATTTTGTAGCATCAAAAAAAACTAGTATTTCTTTTGGATCAGTTGGCGTACCAACTATTAGTATATACGGCTGAATAGGGTTTTTTTCTTTGCTGCGGCATGTGATATATTCTTCCATTTCACAAACTGAATTTTTGAAGATCATAAAGCTGTTCTGAGAGTCTTTGATTGAATATTTCACCAAGCTTTTTTTCCCCTTATCATCTTTAGTCACCTTTTTGGACGTAGGAACAAATATTGCATGCAATAAATAAAATAACACTGTATTTTTACCATCTAAAATCAAAAATATAAATACATACAATATAAATAAAGTATAATAATATAATAATAATCTATTGTAGGTGGGTTTATAAAAAAATTCTTACTTTGACATATAATGTTTGATGAATTCTTCAAATTCTCAAAAAGCATACGACTTGAATTATCTTTGATTTTTTCATTTAGTAAATCCATCAATTTTTCTGATTTTTCTTCAAAAATTGATACTAAGTTAGGGCAGTTGGGGTACAATGTACAAAAATCAATATCAATCTAAACAAACATAATATTACACAATAACTGGTTAATTTTGAGTTAGAACTTATTGATGAAATTTAAATAGTAATTTACTAGTCTGTATCCAAGAGATAGTGTAAATCCAATCCATTTGTTTAATATATCACTGGTTGTTGATGCTTTTTGAATTTCATTTAACCTATAGTTTGTCGTAGCTTTCCAGTTATTCTCAAGATCAGGAAATGAACAATTTTTGTCATGCATAATTTGATCTAATATGTACTCAATACCAGTTTCTGGTTCTGTAATTAAATTATAATTATAAACAACAAATAAATATAAATCACTTACAATAGCATTTAAAAATCCTTACCAAAATTCTTGCGATTTATTGATTTTACAGGAACTTTAACATGAGCATTGGAAGGTATTATAAGGCCACTAGTTTTTAAAGCTCTCATAGAATTGTAAAATTTAGCATACAATTTACCTTTAGGGTTTTTATTTGTTTCATGTTTCATAAAATATGTATCCTATAAATTCAAAAAGTTATTATTCACTACAATAATTTTATATTATAAAATTAAATAATGTGGCCTATTTTTGGAATGTAGTATTTATTAGGTAGGTAGTATTATATATAAAATAATTTACACTGAAATTTAATTTACTTTTACTTCAGATGGAAACATTGCAATTATTTGATTCCCAATATAGTCAGCTAAATTAACTGACATTTGTTTTTTTGTAGTTATAATATAACTAATCACAGTCTCCACTAATAACGATCTTATATTGTCATTTAACTTATTGTTTATCTTATAATAATTAATAATCATTGATCCAGTAGTAGATGAAGTTAATATATCACCCAGATTTATATCAACAACAGGTTCATCTTGGACGAAGGACTTGGTATTTTTTGGTAGTATTGCAGTGTCCAACTTATTATTTGATGATCCATTCTGAACATTTTGCCAATTTTCTAAGTAATGACTAAATTTTATTTTAATTCCTAATGGAAATTTATTGAGAAGTTCATATACTTGAACCGATTTCATAACTTTTAGAACTTGCATATCAATTAATTCATCTAAAACATTTTTAATTTAAAATAAAAATATATAATTATGTACCTAGTATGCATTTTAATCGTATAGGTAACATAAAGGTACACTAACCGAGTAACGTTTGATACAGAAATCCTAATTTCCAACTTTTTAGCAAATCATGTAGGGGTTGCAAATCTTCAATAGGATATTCGTACCCTTGTAATAATGGCATTTCTAGTGTGGATGATTCCAAATTGAAATTCTATTTAATAAATGAAATGCCTATTATTGATTATATTCACAAACAAGTATACAACATAATATAAATTTATAATTATTTATTAATTCAACTTGCATGCATATCATTAAAACCATCTTCCACCTGCAAAAGGTCATTACTTGAAAGGGTATCTGAATTATTGTTTGCCGTGTCCATTATATTGGTTTACAGCCAAAATTTGCCAAATACTAAAAGTTGTACTTAAAACGAGACTTAAAAGCTATAAAGAATAAATAAAAAAAGCAGTATTTACATAATATTTACAAAGATTACATACAATAAGCATAATATATTAGAAAAATTCTTTTAAGCGAATCATTTACTTCCCAGAAGAAGAAGGTGTTATATTAATGGGTGGTCCACTAAATGTATCAATACTATACATTTTAAAATCGTTTATAATTATTCTTTCATTATTCACTTCAAATGCTTCAAAGTGTGAATGAAAATATTCTAATTTAATCTATTTAACTATTATATGAATTTTAATAAGGGGATTGTTAAAAACTATTATTTCCAATATTTCTAATAAGTTCATTTCTTCTATAAATCTTGTTAAGTAATATCCATTTTTATAATTTGTTCCCATAAATTCTATTTGGTTGTAACAAACAAAATCTACAGATGTAAGAGAAAATGTGTCACATATTTTATCTAAATGTAAGCTGTGTACTATGTATTTTTCTTTTAAAATAAGTTCTTGATTACTGGGTTGTAGTAAAATGTGAGCAAATTTATACTGAAATTTTTTGGCTAAAGTCAAAGTAATATTTTTTCGCGATGATGTTGCACGTGCATACATTTTTAACTCCTTGTGCTTACCTTCAAATCTAAAACACCAATAATGCCTTGGTGGTCCTGAGTATTGGATAATTGTAGGGTAATGAATTAAAAAGTGGTGTTTAGGTTTTAATGTATCATTAAAAAGCCTAACATACATTGAATTGTGCTGACAAATTAATTGTTTAAGATTTAAAATTTTACTTTCAGTGAATTGGAAAGAGAGCAGTATATCAACTATCTTAATAAGTGTTAAGAAAAAGTTCCAAACTTCATCGTTTTCGGGTATTAAGTCTCCAATCATGATAGAAAAAAAATGCACAAACGTCATCATCTCTCTCGCAGACATTTTTAAACGAAATTTATTTAAATGCATTTCAGTTATTTCAGGAGACACATTGCCAATTTCAATGGGGCCATAATTAAAATTTGTTTTACGTATATTTAAAGTTGATAATGAAAATATTTGTGTCGAAGTATAATATTTAATAATATTGCACATGTCATAATGGCAAACGCCCTCAAATACATCATGCATCACATCTATACAATAATTTTCAACAACATGGAAGCTATAAATTGAATTTAAAATTGAATCTTTATTAATACCAGTCTCACTAAAATTCATTTTGCTACATCCTCTTGGTAGTTTATAATATTACGCATACATGAAGGACTTTCTTCACACAATGTATTTGAAATAGATTTGTGGGATTTACAAAATCTACAATAATAATTTGAAGAAAATGATTTACCAAACTCCAGTATACTATTAAGTCCTAAGTTATCACCTAATATTATGCCAAGTATAAAATAAACATGGAATTCACCAGTTTCAGTTACAATATTTATTCCTTCTTTTTCCAGATAATTAATTTCATCAATAAGTTATGATAAACATGGGTCATTACCAAACTCTTTTAAATCAATTGATTTAATTAAAGCTGCTAAAAAAATATTTGATAATTTGGAATTATTTTCAATTAGTGGAAAGGTGTAATAAATTGCAGAAATTGACTGATAATTAGAATGTGACCCCAAAGGATTGTTAATTTCAAAGTCATCAATGTAAATAAAATATGGAAAAACTATCTTGCCCTTATACTGAGAAATTTTTTTCTCCCATAATTTTCCCTGGACAAAATTTGAAAGCAGATTATTTTCATTTTTAAAACCCATGAGTCGTTTATAAGCAATTTGAAAATTTTTGCCACTTTCAAAAAATTGTTTGAATTGTAACTTTAATGGTAAAAGGGTACCTTTGGTAACTTTTTCATTATAACAAATTTGATCAGCATGGTTTACAGGATATATTTCATTGTTTATAGTAATTTGTTGAATATTAGACAATAGCTTATTTTTTACTAACCAATTATTCAAGCGGTATTCAGTACTACAGTGAAAAAAAGGATTTAAAATTATTCCTACTATGTTGTCAAACGTGGAAAGTAATACCGGTTCCACTATTTGTTTTTTTTCGACTGATTTTAGAATAGAGGCAATGGGTTTTAAAATTTTTTCTGTCATGCCGTTTTGAATGTAGAGAACATCACTTTTGTTAAAATTGTTATTGTTATATAAACTAACAACAAATTGTACAGTTGAGTCATATAATAATTGAACAGACTGTAATGGGATTACGCAATATCATGTATTTTGCTCATAATAACAACCAGGAATGGGATTACGCAATATCATATATTTGCTCATAATAACAACCAGGAATGCGACCACACCCAAAAGTGTTTTCGACTACGAATACCACTTTCATAGTCGTGAGGTCCATATCAAGGACGACTGTACACGCGCCGCTCACTTTGAAAGGACGCCGCCACCATATATATAGGGGACAGCGAGACAGCCTGAGTAGATGTATCCAGAGACGAGAACACCACACGACTCGCTTAGCCGCCCAGCCATCACACACGACTTACACGGAGATTATCAACTTCGGAACGAGCTACAATTCGCTACAATCAACACTATTATTCTGCTTGTTTTGTCTGGTTTAATATAATACATTTGATTACCATACTAATTGACTATTATTATTTATCAAAGTACACCAGCTTTTGGATCCCTGAAGGGCCGCATGTAACACTGGCGCAGTCGACGTAGGATTCCACAAAGGGAGGCAACCATCAAAGGCTACTGTCAACAACGAGGAATTGATCACTCTTCAGCGAAGACAACTCCAGGAGGAACCAACAAAAAAACAAATAAGTCACATTGCAGTACCAACAAATCCATTAGCAGCATCATCAACGGCAACATGTCATCATCAGCCATGAACGCAGCATTATTGTGAGTGAATAGTTATTTAAATTTGTTACATAGACGTATGCAACATAATTAAGACATATTAAGATAAATCTAGGTAGTTGATTATAAGTGTAATGGTGTAAACCGTTTTAAATTTTATTGAGGGCATATTTTATTGATTATTATTGAAGTTTATTGAATTATTGAGGGCATATTGATTATTTGAAGTTTTATTATTGAGGGCATTTTTATTATTGAAGTATTATTGAAGTTTATTGAATTTATTAGAGGGCATATTATTGAAGTTATTATTGTATTTATAGGGCATTATTGAATTTTATTGAGTATTATTATGATTATTAACGTATTAAATAGGTGGTTAAGTTAATTTATGGACAAAGAAGATACATCTCCCTTGAACGTAGCTAATTCATTGTATGACACTAGTGTAGTAGAAGAAGCCCAGTTAGAAGCCCAGCCAGTAGCAAAGCCCAGTTGAATATTATAGTAGATACCCAGTTAGTAGGTAACACAAGTAAAACCCCAAGTCCACAATTAGGAGTAGTCACACGTAGCAAAGTTACAGATAGTTTTGAACATCAGTCGTTAGATTCTATATCTAAACCACGCATTAAAAAAATGGCAGTAACCATTAAAATTAGAAAATTAGAAGACGCTTTCAAATTAATTCCAATATGCACAGGGATAGACGATATCTACCAATTCATAAATGCATGTGATATGGCAGTAGGTTTAGTCGACACAAACAGTGCACCAATATTAGTAAAATATATTACTACACGATTAACGGGTAGAGCATTAGAAATGATTAAATATAAAAACGTAACAAAATGGCAATTTATAAAAGCATATTTAACAGACGCATTCGAAGTAACAACCAATGCATCGACGTTACAACTTCAATTAAATTCGATTAGAATGAATCACAATGAGGATGTAAACGATTATTGCCACAGAGTAGAGAAACTATACTATCAGTTATGTACCGTAATCACATTAAACAAAGAGGCGACAGAAGCAAAAATTATACATGAAACATTAAGGGACCAAACTCTAGCAGTATTTATTAAAGGATTAGTAGAACCAATTAGAACGATAGTAAAATCTTGTAATGCTAAAACTCTTGAAATCGCGAAACAAATCGCTATGTCAGAACAGGTAGAACTAAAATTAGAACAGGAAAATAGGAACCATTATTCGAGTAGTTATTCACAAAACAATAATCAACGTAGACCAAATTATGAAAATAAGAACAGAACGCTAGACAAACTGTAAGGAATAATTTTGCGCAAAATAATTATCCACGAGCAAATAACTTCTCTCAACCAATTAATAGACCACCAATAAAATGTTATAACTGCAATGGAAATCATTTTGCATCACAATGTAGAAGTAATTCGAGACCTAACTACGCGAGCAACGGAAATAACAACCGTCCACCTAATAGAAATAATTTTACGCAACCGCCGACAAATTATAATGCACAACCAGTTACGTGTTCATATTGCAATAAAAACGGTCATAATGTAGATTCATGTTATAAAAAGAGAAACGACGAAAGTAGAAATAATTCGGGAAACGCCAATGTATCGAACGAGGTACGCGGTACTCGCACGATAAACCAGATTATCGCGGAACAACCGACGAACGAATATTTCACATATTCGCAAAATTAGAAAATAATCATATAACATTCGATTCTAATGCCGCAAAAACAAATCAATTACATTTAATGATAGATACAGGTAGTCAGGTAAATATTCTCAAAATAAATTGCTTACGCGAAGAACTAGAAGTAGACGAAACACAAAAAATAAATCTACGCGGTATAAATGAATGTCTTACAAAAACCATAGGGAAAATATCAATATTAATTAAATTAAATAGCG